AGATCTTACTCTAACTATAATCTAAAATCATTTGAATTTTTAAAAAATTGGATTATTTTTCATATCTTTCTATCAATTTTATATCTATAATTTTAATTCTTACTTTTTTTAATCATATTAAAAATATTTATGCTAATTTTATTTTTATTAGAAATAAAATAAAAATCTATATATTTTTAAATAAAAAATGATATTAAAATTTATTGATACTCTATATTATTTTAAATAAATATTAATAGTAATTATATTATATGTTTATATATCAATGCATACCTAGTAATTCAAAAAATAATAATTATAAAGTCTTGTATTTTAAATGGATTTATATCTCTATAAAAAAATTTAGTAATATTTTAAAAATTAAAATAAATATCAAGAAAATATATGTATTCTAATCTTATTATTTATAAAAATTAAATTTTTTGTAGCATAAAATAAGAAAAATATTGCAATTTTCTATATTTTTTTAGAAATAAAAAAATGTATATTTCTAAGTATTGTAAAAATTCCAATTAAAATTTGAGTTCAATCAAATGATTTGAAAGATATTGAAAAAAGATGGAATATGGTAGATGGAACATTGTGGTGGCCATAGCAAATATTATGGTGGTATTAGCAATATTCTATTTGAATTAATAAATTGATTACAAGTAATGTTCTCTCCAAAAGCCAATCCTTCAAAAACTAATAACCTCCATTAAATAATCAAAATTTTGGGAACTAACTCTATTTTATGATGTATAATTAATAACTTCTAACTTCTAATGATTAATTAATCTTGATTAATTTTGGTTAATTGACAAAAGGGGCCATGTGGCCCATAAAGCCTTGAGGCTATATGTAATTGTGGCTATATATTATTGGGCAAAACCATGTGTCTTCTAAGACAATAACAATGAGATTATATAATGAGGTCCTTACAAGGATGATTTCTATTCGACCTTCAATGTGCCATGTTTTATGATTATTAACAGAGAACATTGTATACATTTTTTTGTTTTGATATATGGATATATATTTATATATATATATATATATATATATATATATTAATGTGTGTGATGAACTCTCCAACTTACGCAAGAATATACAACAAGTTCCAACACCTCTAACACTCTCCAGGAATCAAGGTCGACCTCGGTCAAGACGGCCCACCAGAGTCAAACTTGAGAATAAGAAAGAAAAATAAATAAACAAACCAATAAATGAATGAATGAATGAATGAATAGGAGCAAACACTGGCACGAAGCTTGAGAATGCACAGGGGCGAATTGCGATCTGATCTGCAGCGCGCTAACTGAGAAACTGAGCACTGGGTTCCGCTGTTTGCTCGACTGATATCGATGTGCCGGATGTTGGCGAGAGCAGCTCAGGATTCAATTTTAAGAATCGTTTCACATCCGCAACAAGATGACTCTTCCGTGTCACTAGTTCACAACTTCTGAATCGAAACCTGTGTTTGTTGATGATGATGTTGGACTTTTGGAGCAGAGATGGTGAGCGGTGGCACTGTTTTCGTGGCTTCGATGCTGTGGGTGTCGGTACTACGAAAGTGGCAACAAAGCCCATATCTGACATGGTTTCAGTTGTAAATCAAAGTGAAGTTACTAATCAGTGAAATATTGTGTTTGTGTGTGTGTGTGTTTCGATGCAAGGAAAGATAGGATTTACTTTGTTGGGAGACAAGTTACAAGGACATAAACAATTGACGTGAAATTAAAGAATATATATACAACATTATTTTTTCTTATTTAAAAATTAAAAAATATTAATTTTTCTTCAATTTTTCAAATCTTAATATGTGGATGCACCAAATTAGTGACACAACTTAATTATATGTACATGTATTCCTAAACATAGTTATAAATTGCAAAATTTCTTGTTGAATTCTATTATACTAATGTCCACTAAATAAAAAAGAAATAAAAGAAATAAATAAAAAAAGAAATAAAAGAAATAAATAAAAAAGACTATAGAATTTTTTTTAAGATAACAAAAAGGATCTAAAATTCATGTATTTCAAAGACATGCAGAATTCAATAGATTCAGATTAATCTGATTTGTGAACTTCTTAGTGATACATTGAAAAAAAAAACAAACAAAAAATTAAATGAGTATAAAAATTGACATGTTCATTAAGCTTTAAGCATTATTTAAGAATTTCATCCATCTATCAAGCCACCAAAACTATGGAAACAAAAAAATATTTAAAAACATAAATTTGTATAATTTCATTGCTTTGAGCCATATTCAAATATCATCACTTGCATCAAATACTTCCAAAAGAAGCATTCAAACAAAAAAAATAGTTGGGAGAAAATTACATCTAGACCATACATGGCTTAATTCTATTTCAGCAGATTGGACCTTGTTTTTGACACATGACACTTACCCTTCTATTAATACTTTAAAAGCAATCAACACACAATTCCAAATAGTAGCAATTTTAATATAACAACAACAACAACAAAACAAAAAAAAAAAAAAAAAAAAAAAAAAAAGACAAAAAAAGACAAAAATGACAAAAATCAAACAACACTTTGTTAAAAAATAATCTTGAATTTTTTCTAAAGAAATATATATATATATATATATATATATATATATATTAAAAATTAATCAAAATTAATTCAAATGTAATTGGACAAGGCAAGATTATGTGGCTATCATGGCAAAAACAAGTAGCTTGGATTATTTTGTGATCTTAGTTTACTCTATTATGTGAAAATATAGTTTATTCAAGTTTGTGTTGGATTTTGTGAAATGGATTTGATTTAGAAGTTATATCACTATAAATTCAGGTACAACATTGCTTGACATGCACCTCTTCTTTTCTCTTCTTTCCTTATTTTGTATCCTAAAACTACTTATGTTTACAGCATGAAGTCTATTTTCTTTACTTTTATTATTGTTCTAAGTATTGTAAGTATAAGGGGATTAACTTCGGGGGTGTTGCTAGATGACGCTTAGATCTGCATTTGATTAGTTGTTTATTTTTTTGCAAGTAACGTTGAAGAGAAGGTGTGAAGTGGTTTTGTATTTTTTTGCTTTTCTTTCAATGTTTCAGAATATATATCAATGTTGACAAATCACGTTGCATTTCAATTTGCAACTCAATAAGCTTCAAAATTAAGTAGAGTGTTATATTCTTGCATATTCATATTGACTTTACCAAAAGTAATAATTGTTAATTAACATATAGTGAAGCAACAATTGTTAATCCTTACCAAGCAACAAGGTTGGGAAGCATGCATCCTAACAAAGGGCCTTGCTCTAGAAATTTTGTGTCTAATTTGCAATAATCCAAGGACATTGATCCAATTTTTGTAAACAAACTAGCTTTCAGCTTTTTGAGTAGTAAAAGTAGCTCTCAACTTTATTTCTTAAAACGCCAATCTCAAATCAAGGCTTTTATTCATGAATCCAATAAATTGTCTTTTTCTTGAGTGGATTTTTTCACATGTCCATACTTTGGGGTGGACACATAGAATGTGGTAATCATCATCTTCTTTATTATTTTTTATCAAATGGATAGTTTATTTTTTCAATATTTTTTTAAATACAATATCCAAAAAATAAATGTTTTTGAAGAGGATGCATACATCTTAATATGTTTGATATAGTTTAATTTTTATTTTATTTTATTTATTTATGGATGCAATGTTTTGTATGTGAAGTCCATTCCGAAATATGTGGTATTGCATGATGCAGATTTGCCAAGAACAAATTGAATTTCATCTCTGATGAATCAAAGCTATTGTTGATTAAATACTTGGCTTTGCTGAATGTTGTGTTCTTCTTTTCATCAAAGCCAAATAGGAATAATGCTCTCAAGTCATTCTTTCCTCCAACTAAACCATTCAGCAAGGCTCACGAATATTGCACTGGAGAATGCAACACAAAATGCTTTTATTGAGTAGATAATTTATGCTTAGCCTCTTTCAAGGTTAGGATCTGCAAGGGCTTTGGACGATCAGATTTGCTCAAGTTTATGCGGTTCTTTGGAGTGAGCCCAGTGTCCCTGTAGAATGGGACTTGGAGTGCAATGAGGGTTGGTACTGGATATTGGAGCTAGTCTCGAATTTCAAATTCCTGAGATTCCATGACAACAGCACGGGTTCAGCCAGTATGTATATATATACATATTCTCCAACTATTTCACAAACGCACTCTCATCTTCCTTGTAACATTCTATAAACAGTTTTCATGGGTGGACTGTCTTTCTGTAATGACTGAGAACCAAAGAAAAGATCAGGAAAACCTCGATCTGAGGGAGACGAAGAATAGCAGAAAAGAAAGGATGAAGCGACAATGGAGAGCAGCGACAGAAACTCCTCGTGAAATCCTCTGATACGGCGAATGGGAGGAGAAACCAGCAATTTCTGGTCCACAGAGCCCGTGTGATTGTCAAGATGGGTTCGGTCCTTTTGCATCGGAGGAAATGGAGCGCCACGGTCCCCTCAGAGCTCGCACCCATTCTGACAAGGCACGACTGCGTCTCGGCCTCGCCGGCACCCAGTCAAAGATTCCAACGATGCTTTGGTTCACGGCACAAATGTGGACCATTCCTGCTACGTATGTAAGCTGTATGGCAACACGGACGTCACCGGAATGTTGATGAAGGAAAGGGTCGAGTGGAAGGAATCAACGAACCATATCCATAAGGAATGCTTTGCTCGGAAAGGAGACGGGAAAACCAGGGCGGGAAAACCAGGGCGGGAAAACCAGGGCGGGTGCTACTGGTGGTCTGAGAGGGATTGTCACAAAGTCAGGTAGGTGAACGATTGTTGAAAGCCACCCAACATTCTGTCTAAAAGGTTCCGATGTATCCTAAAGTTGTAAAACATGCTTCAATATGTGTCGAATCTTTCATCTGTAGCAGCTACATTCCACTTTTGTTGTTTTTGTTTGTTTTTTGTTTGTTTTTTGTTTTTTTTGGTATACAACTAAAACCTCTTCGGATTTTCGAACTGTACGTCATGCATAAAATAGAGAAGAAAAAAAGAAAAAAACCAGTACAATACAGCCTAGTTTTGGTGAAATAATACAGTTTTCTGTTTCTATTTTGACTTCTTGATGTATCAATCTACAGCCCAGGACAGCACCTGAGCAAATGGTCATAGTTCAAATGACACATTATATGAGTAGAGGACTGCAACTCATGTGGGTTGCTACATGAGACCCAAAAACCAGGAAGCTAACCAACCTCCCATCACTTCAGGCTGTATATTATTGTACTTATCTCCTCATCCTCTTCTACGCCAATGTAACTTGCACACTTGGCATCCATTCCAGTTTCAAAGCATCACAGACAACACATTTGTCACTGGGCAGCCCAAGCGGTGAACAACGGACACTCGCAAGAGACAACTGGTAAATGGAGCGAGGACAAGTGCCGGCAGCAAGATTATCTCATGATTTAATGAAAGGTCACTTACATACTAGGTTAGAAAGATCAATCTGAAAAGCAAGCTGTAAACCTTTCAACGAGTGCTAGTATTGCGTTTGAACTCAGAGTTAGGTATATATAAATACCTGACGATGACGATTGCGAAACCCAATGGAAGAATTAAGTTAGACTGAGCTGCCTCGCATCTCCTGTATTAGTCTTGTTGGCAATCCGTCTTCATCGCTACAAGACTTTTTGTTCGTGAAGTCCCCGAGGGAAGATGCTCGGCAAATTGGACTTATCAACACCCTGCATGTAACACTTTCTCGTAAAAAAAACTTGTTACAAGTGTTCGAATATCTACATACAAACTATGCATTAGAATAAACATTTTGCGTCAGTAACATGATTGAATGTCCGTCCAAGAGCTTCCTCCACTAATGATTCCGCAGTGCAACTCTGAAAACTTTCTAGATAGCCACTGCGCTGATTGTCATCATAGCTATCCGAATGCGTAACTGTGTACAGTTTCTAACGACAAGGCCCTGATGGAGAAACTTGTTGAGCTCTGGTCGCATCACAAAGTAGGCGATTGTAATCAAAGGCTGGAATGACAGTCTTAAAGCAATAGAGAAGTCCTCAATCACACCATGGAATCTGTTCTTCTCATATCGACGGTCTCATAGATCGAATCAGAGATATGAGAATTCTTTTCTCCTAATTAGAAGCAGAAACAAAGGCTTATGCAAGGAAGAAGAGTTCGTATTTACATTTGTAAAATGCGGCCGCAGGGGATGAATCAGCCCCGAGAGTTTCGATACAAGCAGTTAGTGCAGCCAATAAGCAGCAGCCACGAGAATCACACATGGCAGTCTCAAGAGAACGGCAAGCAGGTGGATCGAATCATCTAACTAACCATCGTCTTCACAATCATAGTCGTCCTCATCGGAATGCACGGAGGGGCAGAGTTCGCTCCTTTGTAAATGTAAAGTACACCCTAAGACATGCTCACTATCTACATCCAAATCCTGTGTCGGTACATTAGAAGGACCGTCAAGCTCTATTTCCTCCTCCTTAGCAGTCGCTTCATCAGCCCCAGCAGGTATTTCGCCATTCTCATCTAAATCCATATTTAAATCAAAATCAAGTACTTTTGGACTCTTACTCGGACCAGACGAAGTTGGACTCGGATTTGCGCTAACTGCCTCCTCCGGTTTGGGTATCGCTTTATGAACTATAGGGTCTAAAATAATATTTGCGCGATCAGGAGATGGTGAATATGTATCCATCTCAGCATCGTCAGAATCTTCTGCCTTCTCGACCCCGATAGTGCGTGTGCTCGGAGTTCCATTAGACCCTCTACCTCGACCTCGGCCTCGGCCTCTACCCCGCCCTCGGCCCCGACCTCTACCTGATGCTGACTGCTCCTCCTGCAAACAAAGGTCAAATTGTAAACATCTCCAAGTTGTGCATGCAGGTTGTAGACAGCAAGCACAACTTTCCAAACACCCTTCACTCATATTAACATGCCATTTCTATCAGATTGCTAGCGCCAACCACCGACATAATTGGGGCTAGAGAAACTTTCCAATCCAATTACTGGACAAAGTTCGGTAGCGCCACCAAGTAAATGAAGCTTAAGGGCCCTAGAATATATGTCCTGGAGAAAAGAAAAGAAAGAAGGGAATAAAAAAACGAATGATGAAGAGTAAAACGCATACCGACTTCGGTCGTTTCACTACCTCCTCTTCATCACTATCATCCCCATCTGATTGCTTTCTGCAGACAAAAATCAGCTCACGAAAATTATTATATGGCATCAAATATGAATCAGGTCGTACTTGTTTGTGACATACATAAAAAACTAGCTACTGTTACATATTGGAATTCCAGGTACAAATATGTTCCTACAAGGTGCAGATACCAAAGAAAGAATGCAAAATTTTCACAAAAGTCCACGATTCGAATGCGCAAGTACATATTGAACTTCAAAAACACCCACCTCCTCTTTCCACCATTCCTTTCATCGCAGGTCGTCTCTGTACCTAAATCTGGAACCTTTGAAACAATTTCTTGTAAAAAATCGAACACACTGTTTGTCTGTACACACTGCTTCCTGTAACAAGCACGAGTTAAAAATCAGAAAGCGAAGTACTGTAGTAGCTCAAAAGAGCACAGGTTCAAAAGAAACAATGATAGATTTTCACAGCAAAGAAAGTACCATTACATCTCTGTAAAAAAGTTTAGTGACCGATTTGCACATCACATAGTAGCGAAGCAATAGGCGAACAAATTCTGTCTTTAACGAGGTCATAACAGAATCTCAACAAACCCCCTTGCAACCGAAGACATTTGCGATGTCACTTACAAATGGAAAGAATTCATGGTCTTTGCACCCCTTCGGAGGGTTATTTCGTAAGTTTTGTCACACAGGTTCTGGAGAAAGAGCTCCAAAGCTTTGGCTGCAATAAACAAAAACACCATATATAAATGCACGAAAGAATAAACTGAGGACTGGTTTACAAGCTTAACGCTGTTGCATTAGCTGCGCACAACCCGTACAGGCACAAGAACTTTGAGTGCAGTCTTGACCTTATGACTTGTAAGTCACAAAGTCTTGGACCGTACATGAAGGCTGGAAACATAATGTACAGCAGTGACTACCTGCCACCACTGCCCACTGACTCCATCAGCTCCCCACGATGAATACATACCACAAATTGCCAAATTGCTCATAAGGTTGTAGTACGCCTTAAACGTAGCAATATAGCAGTAGCACGCCCGACAAATTTCAAGCATTCTGCTGTACGTACTAATAAGGACCAGAAGTCATTCCAGAGTAACCATCGTGAAGAAGGCGAGGTAAAATCCATAAATAGACACAAGGCTTAGAGGACGTACAGATCAACACCGGTGTCGCCATAGCGATCTTCCCCACTTCTTCATCGGCTTGCATTATCTTCTTTATTCGAGCCTGTGCCGAAGAGAGAAAAGCGAGTTCAGTACTAGCAAAGTAACAATACCTTCATCAGGAGCTTAAGAAAATGGTTTACTTGAAGTTCAATGCTAAAGGTAAGAAGGCAACTACGCACATATTGTGTAAAATATCAGGATTCTTGGAATTAAAAGGGTATGCCCATATCACAAAGTGATTGGGCAAGTCCCAAAAATTAGTTAATGCCATATGCATGAGGTAACACTTGAAGAGAGAAAGCAACACGAGCACAATAACAAGTATTCTCTTCACAAACCCCGATTAGGTACTACATCACCAAATATGATCGGCTTCTCTCCTAGTCTTTCAACATACACTCCCTCTACTGCTACATCTTCAACTCGTTGCTCCTGTCTAGCTCTAAACCACATTCCAAAACATATTAAAAATCGATTTGAACCATCTCGTGTCTCAATGTGCACCCGTCAATGAACTTATTTGTTTTCTTCCGTCTAGTGCTTCTTCAAAATGTTACAATGATAAAGTCGCTCACTGATTATTCCATTCGTTCACAAACAGTTTCTTCACTCCACAAGCGATATCTTTGAACTAAAATCATGAAGAAGACGTTCTTCAACACGGGAACCAAGCTATTGGGCCGTCTTAGCCAGTGTGACCGAGAGAGAGAAGAAAAAGAACTCGCTCCTTCAACGATTTCTGAACGCCAGTGTCATTTAGTACGGAACTTGTGACATAGCAATCCCAATAAAGCTCTATTCATGGTGTCCATGACGTTAGGATCACATCACCAGGTCTTTCCGTCTTTTTGGGTCCCTACTTGGCCTAAACCGCAACATAAGTGCACTGCCACTTTCCCTTCTAAGCTTCCCAGAATATGTTACTCTGACATAACAAAAACATTTAATACACAGAACTAGGGTTTGAGCACTTACAGCCGGGAAGCGTGTGTCCAGCTTCTTCTTCATCTTTGCAACTGATGGCGGCGCTGCCACTTCCTCTGCTGTTGAAGTGTGTCGGCACTTGGTCTCGTGCGCACTGAAATAAGTATCCTAGGATCCGCTCGTATAGAGTAAACTCGCCATAGCCATAGATTTTTTTTTTTTTTTTTCAAATCTTTCCAAGAATTGCACGCCTTGCGTGCACTGTGTTCACCTATGCCCTGATTGTGCCGAACCTGTTCGTTGCATGGAAAAAATCGACCCTGTACTTCTTCAATCTCCCTTTCAGCATATTTAGTTCGCGAGTCCAAAAGCCAAACCTCGCCCTCGGGAGAGAGCAACCAATCAAGCCTTAACAATTCCACGGAGACCCACACCAGACGAAAAACTCCAGCAAAAGAATAACGCCACACAGGAACTTGTTGAGAAGACCACGAAGCACTGCAGATGCAGAAATGCCAATGCATACATCTACAAAGAAAAGAAACCCCCCGATTCAGGCACCCCAGTTCAAGACCTCCGATGGAACTAACAATTCCGCGGGCAGTGCACACCCATGGAGGCTCTTTAAAGACATCTGTTAACTCCAGAAACGCATACAAATGCAACGAAAATGAAAAAACCAAGCTTCCCCAACCTCCAAAGTTAATACTCCTGGTTCCAGAATAGACTCCAAAAAAAAAAAAAAAAAAAAAAAAAAGGGGGGCTAAAAACCAGAAATAAAAACAACTTAAGGAGCTCGTTGGAGAGAGAACGAGGCGACGGAAATGGTGAGAATGCAAGCGAAGAGAGAAGAGAACGAAAGAATGCGGGACGGGGTGCCGAAGTGGGGTAGAAATGGGCTATGGCGAGAGCTTCACCTCCTCCTGCGCGGTGCTCGCTGGCGTGAAGAAAGAGCCGCGCAACGAGGCAACCGAGAAACCTGGAAAATCCGGTCATGGTCCCGGACCAGCCGGTCCTCTCCGCCCCCGTTTTAGCAACCTACCTACACTGACTTGCTCTCTATCCGTTTTTTTTTTTACATTATACTCTCAACTCTCTGTTGTCTCCGCTCACGTCACCGAATCTCAACTCTTTTCCCCTTCCACTCAACCCAACTCACCTCTCGCAGACATTCCCTTTGCGATCGGAAGGCGATTCCGCGGAGACATCTCCGAGCTTTTGCCGCTTGAGGAAACTTAGACTGTGAATGCTTCAACAGGATTGCTGTGTGACACGGTTGAAGTGGAGAATACTGTTTGTTTTTCACTTCAAACTGATGTTCTGTCTGTCTCCAACGCCCCGCGATATCCACGTCCACGCAGAGACTGAGTTTGAAGGAACAAAGTGGAAGTGGTGGCGATGGAATTGAATTTTCGACCCTCCGAGCAAAGTGTCGACGCTGATCAAGAGCCCAGTAGAGACAACCCTACTCCGGTTTTGAACGAACGAACGAACGAACAAATAAACAAAAGGGCTTCGAGCGAGTCCAACGTTCGTCCATCAGGGCCACTTTTTGCATCATATGTTTTAACATTTACGGTTTAATATTTGTTTCCAAAATTTAATGGAATGCAAATAAATAGTAATTAATGAATACTAATCAACCCAATTTCTTTAGGATCCTGTTTCCTTCGTTTTCTTCTATATTATAAATCTGGGCACGTTTCCTGTTTATATTTGTCGATTTGCTACTCTATCCCACAATGGCACAGGTCGTTAATAGGCATGTTGTGGGTCCTATCATCACGCCTGGTTCGGGCCAGCTCTGAAGCGGTAATAGGACCCCTGCGCTTGGTTTGGGCTGGGGCCCATCACCAACCCCTTATCTCCCATTGTGGAGGTTACGGGTGAGTGATGGGCGGTGATAGGGTAAGGGTGCCTTATTCTTCACATCCTTCATTAATCATATTTTTCTTTTCATTCATATTTTGTGTGCTTGCGTTTCTAATTTCTTATATTTGTAAAACATTAATTGTGTAAGTAATAATATCTACTTGTGGAACAACTTGTTAGAATAAATATTACAAGTTAAAATTAGAACAGAATTGTTTTTTTTTATTTGGAAAAAAATCAAAATGTTAGTGTGCTTCTTTTTAGTTCATTATTTGTTACAATATTTCTACATAAGAAAAAACTTTATATGCATACTTGATTATTTCTTTTGTATTTTTTAAATATATAAAAAAATAAGTTGAGTATCTTTGTATATATCAATTAATCAATGAATATATTTCTACAAAATATCTTAATGTTTAAACGTATAACTATGATCTTAATATCCTTTTAGATGGTATTGTTGAGAAAATGCACTAACATGATTATTCATCTACACATTGTTTATTTCTTAACTTACTTTAATTATATGTTTTATCAATATGTTTTAGCTCGGAGTATATAGTATATTCTTTATTCTATTATCTATGAAATTACAACAACATAGCTCATACCATCAAACTAATATAGGATTTCGAAAACAATCCATTTTTTGGTACACCATCCAATTCTACTATGACTATATAATTAAATTACTAAATTTCAACCAAAATTTAACAATTGTTCTATCATTAACATCCAATCTTTTGTATGGTACCTCATTTAAATCCATTGATATATTCTGTATTAATATATAAAAATGTCACATTACCAATTATAAATATTTTATAAATATAAATATAAATACATTGTTGCTTTAAACGGTGAAACTATTTTCAAGTACTTATTTATAAATGTAAAATTGTCTAGAATCTTACATTAATCTACATCCTATTACTAAATTGGTTTTTTTATTCATGTCTTTCCGTTCCGATATCACAATGATATAATTATGATCAGACAATTTATTTTGTATTTCAAAATAATAAAACATCAAGTTTGCTAATAAAACTACAAGGATTCATTTACTAGAGTATACAAATTACAACCAAATCACAACCAAATTGTGCATATTTAATCAAATTACACCAAAAATTTCCAGTAACAAATGAAGCTATAATCGAGTTGTACACACCATTTATCAAAACTAAAGGTGATTTAAGCACAAAAACTTTTATTTCGTGAGATAATCGTAGCAAAACCTCCTCTAAATGTACAGTTAATTAATCAACAATTTTTTATTTGTAGATAATCTCTTTTGCAAAGAAGGGAGGAGCAAAACATCCATAGCAGTAAATTAATTCCCTCCCTTAACCTTCAGCAACTGCAAGCAGCCAATGGTTCCCATTATCATCACACATTACAGCTTCGATGGAGTTCGACAGCATAGCACATAAGTATAGTCATATGTGCATATAGGGGCAACATTCCAAACAATATCAGAAAAGAGCTATGTGAGCTCCTTCCTGTAGAAACATCAAAAGACCATCAAAAAAGAGCTAAGTGAGCTCCTTTCTGTAGAAACATCAGGACCTCGTCCGAAAATCACGAATTTAGTCCACAATGTATGATTTTGGAAGCAAAGCATTCTGGGGTTACATAAGCTTGTCATAGTTCCCAATGACCGAGCCTACCGCAAATTCCTGGTCGGACAATTCGGAGCAGTTCGACATTCAAAGTGGGAAACATATTCCTGAAGAAAAAAATACCACACAACATTCACAGATTTCGAGACCACATCATGTCAATGTAGGTTGCAAATGCAATACGAAATTATATCTTGTATAGTTACAGCAGCTCCTTGCAACGCAGAGACTTCTAACCTCTATTAGAACCTAGTAGGAATAGAAAATTGGTCACAGCAAACTACATTGCTACGACTGGAAATAACAAACTGACGCAATAGCGAGATTTCAGGATTTGATTTTTTTCTTTCCTGATTGATACAAGTCAAAATTGTGAAAGTTGGAGACCGGAAGAACGATACTAAGCTCCCGTTACGACCGCTGCCTTCCGGGGCACTTTCCGCTTGCCCCCCACAGCACTCTGCTTCCTCTTCTTTGGTTTTTCAGCTACTGCAGCCTCCTCAATCACATCCATTTTATCCTCGGCGTCATTGTCCAATGACATATCTGCATCCACCTTGTCATCTTCGACTGGCTTGGCTTTCATCTTCTTATCCTTCTTTGAAAATTTCAAACTTTTCTTGTCTTCCGGTTGCGACAGTCCTGGTAATTCAATCTTCAGTGGCATGTCAGGAAGAGACTGATACAGTGGAAGTGAGACAGAGTCCAATGTCTTCAGAAAAAATGATCGGACGTTGGCCCACTTCTTTGGAATCTGCTGAGCAATGCCTTCAATAACTGCGTTGACGTTCTGAACGATTTCATCTCGAGCCTGTGACATCCTAGCAACTTTGACAGCGCTGCAAGTACCACCGCTCATGTACAAGTAGGTCGAATTCAAAGCTGCCGAAATTTGGCCTGTCCACTGCGCTCGCGTAAGATTCACAGGAATAGGATGTTTCTTCTTCTTGAAGAAAGTCTTTCCAAGTAGCTTCGGCAACTCTCCTAAAATGCGATCATCTGCCAAAAATGTGTCGTACGACCCGCACAGCTTCCGCTTCGCCTCATGCGCGAAGTAATCAGTCTTTAATTTCGACAGCGGGATGACTTTCGAAATTTTCAACCCCTCTTTCTCAATCCGCGCCTTCGCCATCTGCTTATCTAACTTCTGCTTTGCATGCTCCCTGTCGCTGATGATCAAGCACACCTCGTGGTTCCCATCTGGCTGGTACAGAGGATGCGGAAGCTCTAAAACGTACGGGTTAGTTCTACCTTTGTCTGGTACCTTCTTCATCCCCACGACGACATACAACAACTGATCATCCTCGAGCAGCTGAGCTTTCTCCTTCTGCTTCTGCGCCGCGCACCACTTGACCAGCGCGTCCACAGCCCTCTCTACAAGCACAGCGTTCACCTTCCCAATTCCCTGCGGTGCTGGCGGCGCGCTACCTCCCTCCGCATCCACCATCACTGCCATCTCTCCAAATCCACTCTCACTCACTTCGAACTCTTCAAAAACAACACAAACAAAAAAATCTACAAGAACCTCCCGACACTATCCTCACAGTGTATTATTCACTGTCCACACAAACTTTGATCTCAACGTGTAAGAAATTCTGCTGCGTCTGAGGATCAAAAACACAAATCGCAGACTGCACGACGATGAATTCGGGTGACAATACCTTCAGCGGAAGTAGGCCAGCGGGGGCACAAGGGCGCCTCGTTTTAGGGTTTAAGCCCAATCTAGGAATTGTAAAATATCACAGTTCATTCATCCTGAACTATCACGTTCATCCAAATGGCAATACCAGTCGAGCAAGCCTAATTGGACTGTCTTCCTTCATCCGACTTGGATGTACAGAGAGCTACATCTTCATAACTGGTTATTTTAAATTGATTCATCCTCGTTATAGATGGTGCGCACCTTCATCCTCGTTATAGATGGTGCGCACCTTCATCCGTTCTCTGTTCATCCGTTTTTAGTGCATAGTCGTGGATGAATGTTTCACTTTGCTATTCTAATTCGAATTAAACGTTCATCCATTTCTGTTTCCCTTTGGTATTATTTCGAACGGAAATGATGTAATAACTATAGTAACTGCGAGCAATATGCCTAAAGTCACTCTTTGACATATGTTTTAAAAATAATTCATACATGACTTTTTGCAAGTGATCTTTAGTGGAGTTTTCCAAAACTTGCATAAAATATGGTTTCTAGCAACTCCAAAAATCAAATTGAGTTTGCTTAACCATTAAACCATTGCTTAATGTGCAGCTTTTGAATATGAACTTCTTTAATGTGTGTCTATATATATATATATATATATATATATATATGTTGTTGGTCAAATACTAAAAAAATGAATAGCTAGAAGCTTTCTTCATGTGGAACATTTTTGAGAAACTAAAATTACAGCTTCTGAGCATTGAAAATACATATTGTGTAATGAAATTTATTTTTATTTGCTTAGCATATGGTATGTTACATAGTAGAAAAAATTGCATACTACTGCAAATAATAATATAATTTTATATGATATTCAAAATTTAGAATAAGTGTTTCTAAATAAAAGAAATATTAATTTAATTACATAATAACTTCTTTTTTGAGTAATATGTATATAGTTATTTTATTCAAGACAATTAATCAATCGTTTTTTTTTTTTTTTTTGTGTAAAGCTAATTAATCAATATTTTTTTAATTAGTCATTTCTATCCATTGTACAAATAAATGTAATTTTTTTATAAAAAATATTATTTATTATTTATTATTTAAAAAATATATGTGCAAAATAATTCTTAACTTTCATCCAAGTTTCAGATATTTAGTATCCAACATGTGAGAAATCTCTGATTTTTTAACAGCATATATAACCTTACTTAAAAGTAATTTAGAGATTCTATCTAATTTATAAATTATAGAATATATTATAGGAGAATATTAAATTGACTCATCTTAATCTTAAATCAATCCACTTCTATGGCACCTCAATCAATTAAGGCTCAAACACCTAAGGTTCATTTTGGTTGATGTGAACAACATGTAACAAATATGGGTGCCTTACTAACAAGAGGATGTCTTAGGTCTTAGGCATATAATCTTCTATTACAATGATGTTGAGGCTAAGCAAGAAGAGTTTTGGAGCAATTTTAAACCTCTAAGTCACTTGGTGGGTCAATTTAAGTTTTAGATAGATTGATTTAATATTCACCATAATATATAATATAGTTTGTAGTCACAATTGTTTTCTGTAGCTCATAATTTTTGTTTCTGGATTCTTATTAATAGCTACAAATGGTATTTTTCTTTTTACATTAGAACCTTGTATTAAAAAAAATATATATCTATATATATATAAATATATATCAATATGCCATAAGATCTAAACATTTTTGTAACATCTTATTTTGTGCTATAATTAGTCTTTAAATAGAGATAAATACTTATTTTTCAAAGAATACTAAAATTATATAATAAAAGCTATTATTAGATGCTAAATTTTCATGAAAATCTAAATCATGTAATTGTTGTGATAGAATATTTTTAATTAAAAGCTATTATAGTGTGGTGTACATATTTATATACAAAATATTTAGTTATATATGATATGTGAATATGAATAAGTAATTATAGAATTCTATTTGTAAAAATACTATTTATAAAAGTCTTGAAAGATATTTTCAATTTTTTTATGAGAATCGTTTCTATTAGAAAATAGTTACTCTAATCAAAACACAACAATTTGTTTTGATTTTTAATTAGCTTAGAAAAATGTATAGCTTAAGCCTTAAGTATTCAAAGACACAATGCTCATCTAGCTTATTTAGTACAAAGATATTGTAGTAAATATTTAGAAAACCCATACCAATTTAAATATTGATATTCATTGTATTCAATATGTGTCTTATAAGCATGAGCCAATTTTAGATAAGTTTTGGAACTACATGCTAGTAAAGGAAAGCTGACTTTAGGCTAATTTTTTATTATACAAGTTTACCTAGAACTTAAAAGATGGATACTACAAAAAGACCTTTTTGTAACAATAAACCTTTTTTCAAGAATAAATATTTTTAGAAATAATAGTTGTATTAGATCGGAAAAAGTTTTAAAATTTTAAAAAATAAATTTATCATCTAGAACTAAAACAATTCCCCAATATGACCTAATAGTCGACAACATTACAAAAGCAAAATGTAACTCAGTATTATAGTTAAATCTATTTTAATTTTATATTTTTTTGCTCTTATTATTGCCAGAAATTCAGGGTGTTAGGATATAAATAAATGTACTCTTTCATCACAACATTTTATCAAAGGATTGGGTTTACCCTGTTTTGAGTTGAAAAGGAATTAAAAAAAAAAAAAAAAAAAAAAAAAAAACTCACCTCGCATGCGTGAGGAGAAAAAGTGGAAGTTCATTTTAAAGTGTTGAGTTCATTCATGACACTGGTACCCTCTACACCAGTTTCTATATATAACAATCGAACAAGGGAGCAGAAGTCAAGAAGCTTTGTGTAGCGCCGGCTGCAGCCAGGTGGAAACCACGACTGGTCAAGAAAATTCCGTTCACACAGCGTTTAAAAGTTCGAGACAATTTCCGAGGGCGACACCCTGCCACGGACCCTCATAAGGGTAGATTCCGATGCTAATGAATGAAAGTCATACATCCACCATCCAAACACCCATCCCTGAGCCTGGTCCCTGGCTCCCGGGCCCTCCCTACCGTCCCCGCCCGTCCCGTCCCATCCAGGCCCTCCGTGCTCCGTCTCTCGCACCGCGTGAGTTTCGCTGTGCGATTTGGTGCTCTTCCTTTGTCCGCGAATGGAAAGGAATTTTGCGCTTCTAGGGTTACCACCAGCGGGAATGGTCGTTGGTATTGCGGAAAGGGCAGTGACGGAGCGGCAGTAGCGGGTGCTGCTTGCTGGACTGCGTGTCGGTGGGGCTTGTGGGAATAGTTCTGTCAAGGGGCGGGTGGGGTTGGTTGCTCGGGGTGTTCCCGCGTTTGAGGCGCGGGGAGGGGGGATGAAAATGTTGTCAGGAGTTCGGGATTACGAGCGCACGCTGTGAATTGGTTTCTCATGGTCGGAGGGGAGGTCCTGAAAGTTCCGTGGAAAGCGGGAAGAGGAGGATTCGGCGAGGTTGCCTTGCTCATGTGACGAGGAATTATTCATAGAATTCAGGGCGGTAGTCTTCTCGGTCGTTTGTGCTCTCTGAGTGAGAGAGTACTTGCATACTATTTTTTCTGAGGTTTATGAGTGGGGGGACGGAATGCAGTGCTGTTGCATTTAGACCGTTTTCAGCTGACTAAGAACCCTCCTGGTTCTGTTGTAACATATCAAGTCGAGAGATAAAGTGGTGGCCATGTGCATATCAATGCTTGCGAGTAAAGATTTCATGGAGGGTTGCGCTTTTTGGGTTCTGTTCGCCCAATTCCAAGTGAGATGACGCGAAGATCAATATTGACGGCAATGCATTCATCTGGATTCTTCGCCTTATGAGGTTGAAGCTTTAGTCACCATGGCAGTTCCTCGGAAGCGTGTTGAATATGCGCTGGGTTGGTCATAGCGGCAAGTGCCTGGGTGCTATTAATTGTAGAGTTTGGATAGATAGGTTAGGTTTCGGACTAGTCAGCGGGTAAAAGGAGCGCGTAAATGTGTAAATCTTTCTTTGAATTGTGTCTCAAAGAAAATGATATCATAAGTTTAGGAATCATGTGGTTTTAGAACCCCCAAGTTTGCAACTGCATTCTTCGTGTCTTGGGAGGAAATCAGTGCTTGTTCAAAAAGGAACACAGCTGGAGCCAAAACTGGGTGTACCATACATGACTGATTTAGCTGTGCGCCCGAATCACATGGAGTTCAACTACCTCCAGGTACTGCATTTCTCAGTGGGGGAGCTGTTACTGTCCCTCGATTTCTTGGGCGTTAGAATTTCTCCTCTCTCGGGTTGAAAGATTCTGACCTCAGATGACATTCTTGCATAGGGTATCGTATAATTATTATTTATTTCTGAGTGTTGTATGATTACTCTTAGCATACTGCTGAGAGAGAGAGAGAGAGAGAGAGAGAGAGAGAGAATTGGTATGAGGTTTCAAATGTGTGGTATGATTGTGACAAGGTCTTTGTAGAGGTTTGGGGAGAACGAATCCTGTCACCACTCAAACATAATAGCACATTTGCATATCATTGTGCTCGCTATCACACAGCGTTTGACTTGTTATTTCAAGATTCGACATTTTTATTTAATTTAATTTTTATTTTTTCCCCAATTGTTTGAATGTATAGTAGCTGGTTAGTGTAGACATCGCCGTTGTTGAACTTCGAAAGTAGCTACGTATTTCTTGCAGCGGCTGGTGCGCTTTTTATGGTGAATACATAATCGTCTGGCATCAGTTTTAATGCTTCCCTGACTGATTGGTTAAGAGGCAATAGCGATGCAGACATATATTTGATTGAATCAAAGAAATGATGGAATATTATTGCACATGCTATCTTGATATGAGTTATGATTAGGCACATTGGGACGGAACGTCAAACCGGCAAGATCTGCTTGAGTTTCATTTATTAGAAATTAACTTTGGGATAGTGTGTTTCAGCGATATACGCCAATGCAATTCCTTCTCTTGTGTCTTGTTTTTCTGGCGACTGTTTGCGAGGTAGGTATTCACATTGCTTCTTGTTCCGCAGCGAGGGAAGGTTTACCGTCTCAATGATGAAGGTAAATGGGACGACAAAGGAACAGGTCATGTGTCTGTTGAGTATTTAGAGGTATTTCCTCCTTAACCTTTATTCCGCAGATTATTCAAGTTGAACCTGCATTTATTGAAGTAATAGACGAAGTATGATTTAATTTCAGGAAATCGTTTTGTCAATCTTAGAATGTTTTAGTACGAATTTCAATGAGTGAAGTCAGGATAGGTATCACCTATATTCTCGTGTAGTCCGGTTCACGCTGGTGAATCTCATTTGGGAAGAAGGACAGTGAGTTGATACGCTATGGAATTGCTATTGGTTACACCCACTATCTAGCACGGTTACAGAGTCCCGTGAACTGGGCGGCTTTAGTATCTACATCCAATCAGTGATTGCTACCCGGTAATCACTAACTCTTGTAATAAAATCATGGTCAACCGTCTTCACCAGTGGTAGCGCATGAACCTTGATAGAGAATCATATACTGATGTGTCTGCAGCGCCAGAGCAAGTTCATTCGCTACTGTAGAAGCTGCAGTGGTGTGTGGAGTCGTTACTAGAGCTAAGCTTTGTCCAAGTGCACTGGGTTCAGATCAGACGTAGCTTTGTGACGGAGGCTCTAGAAGTAATGTGAACAGGTTTACTAGCTTTTGTTCATACCTTAATGACCCAATTTCGAATAGATCTCGAAGTTTATACTACCGTTCCTTTTTTGATATTCTCGTCCTTTCTTTAAGCTGTCGTTTTTTCAATTATATTGGAGGGTTAAATTTCTTAGTTGGATTTGAGCATAACCTCAAATTAAGCACCTGAAATGAACTGAGGCCTTTAGGATTCGGAAAACATGGAATTCGGCGGTATCAGAGCTTCGTGGCTTCGTTATTTTCTCTCGCAATCCTGTATTAGGGGATATTCCACTGAAACAAGAGATTCTATCAGGCCAGCACTGTCTCGCAGTTTTTAGCTCAGAAACTACTTAGTACAGGTCGTGGTTCCAATTTTGATTAGAGGATCTGAATAAGATCATAGACTACGGAATGAATTAGATTAGTGAAATTTAGATAGTAGTTTCCTGTTACCTGTGTGGTGCTTGCTGTCAGAGGCTCGTTCATTTAATTGTTAGGGGCTGGACAGTACTGTCACTTTATAAATTTTGATTTTGGCAGTAACACTAGCTCTGCCACTTGCATTTCTTTTATGCTTATACCTATTCGAGACAATGGTCTTATTTGGCCTGGAGTGCCTATCTTGAATGCATTATTCTCGTCTTGGCTTTGGATTCATGTTGATCATGCCGTTGTTTGGTTGGTGCAGCGCTCGGATGCAGTGGGTTTAGTGGTCATTGATGAGGAAGACAATCAAACTTTGTTGGTTCATCGGATATCAGCGGATGATATATACAGGCGCCAAGAGGGTATTGTCATGGATTTAACATGTAGATGGATCTAGTTCTTTTAGTCTTGATTGTTAGTACGGTGATTGTTTCTTGTTTAGTTTTCATTGAGATAGTCCAGAAGTTGTACATGGTGGGTGTAGTGTTTGTTCTGCTTCTTGTGATGTTTCTGAATTGCTTCTTATTCATCTATGGCTGGTGCAGACACCATCATTTCATGGACAGATCCAGAAGTGGCAACAGATTTGGCTCTCAGTTTTCAAGAGACAATGGGTTGTTCATTTATATGGTAAGTAGGAAGTACCGCTTGGATGTTTTTAAGCGATTAGGCTGATATGATCTAGTCACATTTCTTGCTTCCTTGTATGAAATGATTATTTGTGCCATTTTATTTCAAACAAATAAAATTGATTAAGAAATCATTTAGAAAAAAGGGTACACTTAATGTCATGGAACTCTGTAAAAGTGATCATCCATATCTGAAGACAGAACTGCCGCTTCGTTTTCACACTTCTTTACAGTGGTAGCAGCGAAGTTTTTGTGAAAAGTGGATCATGTTATGTGTACCTTTGAAGTTATTTGGTTCGGGTTTATGAATACACTTGGTTTGCGTGAGGCAAATTCCTTGAGGTTGCAATTGGCTGCGTCCAAGGTGAGCCAGTAAAAGGTCGTACCGTATTGAACGTAAATTGTGGTTTGGGCAGGTTGTTTCTGCTCAAGTCCAAGTTGCCACTTTCATAATCTAATAATATGGATAGCTGTGTCTACTTGATCTAATTTCTTTGGAGAGCGCTGTCCTGGATTTAATAGTAGCTGTTGTTCTTACTTCAGGGACCAAATATGCAGCGTGCAGCGCTCGATTCATTTTCCATCAGTGGGAGGCAAGTTTACAGGGATTGCACTTGTATGAGTTGCGTTTACAAACGTCGTAGGTGTAGTAGTCTTTCTGTGTTTGCTATTAGTATGTTTGGAACATACTCACCCTTGTATCCGTAATATTTTTTGAATTGTTTCTTTTATATATATATATATTCCTGAGTCACAATTATTTAATTTTAATTTCAAATATGTGTCATTGATGCTACAGCCATGGATGGGAGTGCACGCCCAGTTGGTGATGATTTGGATCATTCTGGTACATCGCAAGATGACGGTAATCCAATGGTTGTGGTTTTCGTGGGCTGTCGTTGAAGTTCAATCGTTGTTTCTGAAGTGTTCATGAGCATATTTAGCTACTTTGAAAGAAGAATATAATCTTCACAGGCACACTCGACTTTGAACTCGGTGATTCCTGTTTATTGACAGATGGAGATGAGCTCTACATGGATAGAGAGCTTGTTTTGACTCTGGACATCACTTGTTGTGATATGGTCTATTTTCGCAGATGATGCGTTTCGTGACTGTGGAGGCAGTGAAGTGGTTGAACTCCCGCCAGTGGAGCTTTCTACTCTCTCTCTCCTTGCTAAGGTTTGCACCAACTAGGACAAGAAAATTCTCATCCTTTTCTTTTTTCTTATACTTTGATTTGTTACTGGTTTACTAAGCTGGTAGCATTTCATGACTTGATTACCATTGTGCTTATCTAATGGGAACTTCTGTGCTTGTTCTTCTGCTCATCTATTCTATCTGACTTTTTGCGATTGAGTCTTTTCCGGATTTGAAGTTGTTGATTTACCTTCTCCCAAACTTCCATTACAATTCGAAACACAAATTTGAGGGCTCTGCCGAGGACAGATGGATTCAGTAGTAAACGTTAGAAAGAACAAAAGCTGCGGGCTGTCTTGCTAAAAGAGTGTGATATCTTCAATACCTCCATGTTCTTGCTAAACTGTTGTTAATTTCGCCGTTTTTAATGTATTGCAGACTGTCGCAGAAGTTATTCCTTTTGATCGTGATAGAGTGGCATCCATGATTGTCCGTGATGTAAGCAGAACAAGCGAGATGCTTAAATTACTTTATACTTTGACATACCTCTTCTTGGATTTCATCCATCAAGTTAGTCATGTAATCATCACTGTTGGTGGAAATCTGCTTATGATATTTTAGTGGTTATCACATTCCTTTCCTTAATGTCGCGGTTTTGCTATTGTAGAAATTTGCTGAAGTGGGCCTGTGGGCTCGTTTTGTCTAGCAAAATTACATACCCAAACTCCTACAGCTATTCCGCACTTGCGAAGACCTAGAGAATCTTGCTGGTTTGCAGTTGATTTTCAAGATTGTGAAAGGAATTAGTGAGTTACATCTACTCTTCTACTGTTTGGAATTTTTAATGCCTTTTGATGGGTTTCACCGCATTTATTTGTTCCAATTAGCCGTTCCTACTTCTATATCCATTTTATGCACTCAATGTGAGTGTCTTAAGTCAGTACTGTGGTGGTATGTGTTCGCACTGTGACTTGGGTTTTGCGGTCGACAGACATTGGGTTGAACTTGCCTTTTGATTTTTTGGATTTGACCAAGATGGAAGATTAGATGATGGTACTGTTTTTAGCTATGAACCATGGAGAAAACTGACATGTATTGAGGTTTGCCTATGATCTATTTCATGATTCAGTTTTATTTTTAGAGATGTGTTTATCTGCATATTTACACAGACCTTTAATCATACTTACGTGGATTCCTTCCATGTTCGCATGGAATCTTTGTGGTGAATTGGATGCACAACTAAAACTGTACATGGATTTCCGAAGACAAAGTTCTGAAGCAGTTTACCTTTTGTTATGTTTGTCTCCAGTTTCTCTGAATGATGGACACATCTTTGATATCATCTTTAGCGATGAGTACATAATGGATATTGTCGGGGCTTTGGAATGTGAGCATATTCTCCTTACCAGTTCTGTTGTGCTTTTACTTAGAATGATAGTAACCTGCCATTTAATCTCTTGCTCTGGCTTTTCATGTATGTTTTGTAGTGTGTGCTTTATGAACATTTATTAGAATTTTAGCTTCTTTTGCAACGTCTTTGTTTTGTATTCATGTTGATCCAATCTGTACATACTTCTTTGTCCGTGTATAGATGATTCTGATGTGACAAAATGCCACTGTCACCGCGCTTTCCTCAAGGAGCAAGCTGTTTTTAAGGAGGTAAGTAGGGCTGAAGTTTTTTGTTGCGTTATTGTATGTCCTCGAAGGTAATTTCAAAAGGATAATGGTTATTGTCAGGCCTCCTCTCTTGTGAGCTATTTATCTAATGTGATTATCTTTTCATATGCTGAATTTTCTGGGATTCTTTGTATTTCCATACAAGTTCATGGTCCATGTCTCAATTTTCAATGGAATAATTTTGGTTAAAAGTGAATTTTGCTTGAAAAGCAGGCTGTTCCTATTCGGGATCCAGTGATCTTGTCAAAGATCCACCAAACATATCGTATTGGCTATATAAAGGTCAGTGTGGTTTCTCACCCTTCAAATCTCTGTGTTTCTCTCATACAAAATGTACGCGAGATTGCTATTGAAACACGTATATTACTTTTGCTAGACTCGCTGTTGTCCTACCATCTGCTAAATCTCGGTTTGCCTCTCCAGGACGTCATATTATTTAGAGTGCTGGATGATCCAACGTTTGCCTCACTCAACTCCATTATACTCTTTAACAATGTTTCAGTAAGTTTCCTTGTGAAAAACTTCTTGGGACAGTCTCCTGTTATTGCAGTCTATCTCTCTTGTACGAGTCTCGATCTTTTCTGTATGTAAATTGCGTCCCCCTTTATTTGGATACAAATTTGTAATTTCCTTTTTCTTGATGCAGGTGGTGACTGCGCTTCAGAGCGATTCTGCTTTTCTGTCGGAACTTTTTTCAAGACTTCGCTCGCTCGAAACATCGGAAGGAAGAAGGCGGGACTTGGTGAGTTTCATGATCACTGGTATTTATAAGACTTATTTGCTGAACTGCCGCAGCTCACAGAACACGGTTTAGAACTAAATCACATTGAGCTTGCTGATTCATTCCTCGTATGGTGACAGAAAAATTTCAATCTTATTACACTAGCATTGAGTATTCTAAGAAGTTAGTTAGAAGTTCAGGGTCGTTAATTGTAAATAGCGGGACATGAGTGATTTTTATTGTTCAGTAGCTCCTTGTCAGTTATTATTGCTACATTCCTAGTTTTAGTCAGGTTTTTGTTGAAAATTTAAAGACCGACTTGTGAAGTGTATCACTGCCATCAATTCCATCTAGATACATAATTTTGTACACAGATTTCTTTTTCTGTGACTCAAAATGTGGTTGATGTAGGTGAATTTTGTTCAAGAGTTTTGCAACCTGAGCAAGCATCTTCAACCTCTTGTGCGAAACCAATTGTTTGGGTACAGTTTTGTACATTTTTGAGTCACCTAGTCTTCCTTTGCATGGAATTTTTGTTTCTGGATTCTATGGTTTTTTCATTTAAAAAATTTAAAATCTAATAAAAATAAATTTGCGTTGTTCTTCAAGATGCTGTGTTGGTGGCTTCATTTCCTTTATTTTTCGTATGCCATCAGTCCATAGCAGAGTATTTCTTGAGTCATTGATTGTGTAAGCGGATGTTTGTTCTTTTGAAATTATTGATGTTCTTGTCAATACTTTTGTCTCATGCCATGGTTTGTTTATTTACTTGCTCTGGTTGTTGTGTGGCAGTGCACTTGTTAAAGAAGGATTGCTCGAAATTGTGAAAGACATCCTTGCGGATGCAGATGAAGCTGTCCGACTCAGTGGGTCAGCATCTTTCTTCTGTTTTGATGTCGAATTTCATTTGTTTTCTATACAGAACAGCACTGTTTCTCGTGAACTTTTTAAGAGGCTCATCGTGCTAGCTTGTGTATCTGTCACATTACAGCTCAGTCATGTTTGTTTGATCACGTGCAGACTGGTACGCTTTTATTTTGTATGTACTATTGTTGGGGGCCTGATTTCATGAGTTGGGTGATCTGGTGCCAGGTGCGATATTTTAATTGCAGTTCTCAACCATGACCCAGCATTATTGCGTAGTTTTCTGGTGCACCAATCATCCCACACATTGTTCAATGAACTGGTGGGTAAATTGTGTGTTTTTTTTTTTTTTTTTTTTTTTTTTTTTTTTTTTTCATACACTCATGTATTCCCTCTCAACTGTTTATCTCATTTACAGCTTTGCCCTCTAAGTTCATTGAATGAAGGTTTGGCAGAGCTCTTTTGGAGATTGCATTCAGTGTAGAGTTTCGCATAATGGTATGCACTTTAGAGAGGACGTCGTGAGGCGATTCAAGAAGCAAAGCTTTGAGGATTATCTGAAAGGATTAATTAACCATCAAAGTGAAGTGAGAGAATATGAACCCCTGGCAATGAGAGTATTTTGATGTACTGATGAAGTTGTTAGGTTTTTAGGTGCAAGGAATGTTGATTCCTAGCGAAAGTGGAGTGCAAGCTCAACTTTTAGAAGTAATGCGCATGCTCCTGGATTCAGAGACAATAGATACCGTGAGTCCTTCACTCCTGTATGGTCTATGCGTATATCCCCCATTTTGGTTCAATCTTACAACCTTGCTGTATAATCAATAATATTTTTAACTTACAGTTTTAATTTACCAACATGAAGAAATTGAGTTGTTCTTGTTTATTAATTTTAAGTCTTTAACCCTTTGCACTGCTGCATGAAGTGTATTTTAATGGAATATTGGCACACGCTGTATCTATTTATAATCGAGTTTCTGACAGTGTGTTTGTCATTTATGCATTACAGCCAGCGGTTGAAAAAAGCACTTTTCTGGAAACCTTTTATGAAATATACATGGACCAAATGGTTCAACTTCTTACGGACGGTTGTCCACCAGAGCTAGGGAGCGTAGAGCCTGCTAATGATCCTTCTGTTGATGCTGGAAAAGGGATGAAGCGAACAGTTGCTCCAGAGATTCTTGGAAACATTTGCGAGCTAATGTGTTTTTGTGTTCAGCATCACCGATTCAGGATCAAGTAAGTTCAGTGTCACCTCTCCATAGTGTATCATGTGAAGTCTTGGTTGTGAACAACATCGATTTCTGCTGTTTAGTGTTCTGTTTGTTAGACTGCAAACTTTAACATATATAGAACTTTCATTTTTGACATCCTCAGGTTCAATGTTACTAGTTGACGGGTTTATCATTGGAGAGGTGAAACTCGATTCTCGTAAAATCGTTTTGTGCTGATAAGTTCTGCGCTTTGTCTGTGTGCACTCTCCCAGGTATTATGTGATGAGAAACCACGTCGTGGAGAAAGTTTTGAGGCTGATTCGCAGGAAAGAAAAGTATCTGGTTGTAGCTGCTGTGCGATTTCTAAGAACATGCATTTCTTTGAAGGTTGCTTCCGTTAGAACTGTATCTTGTTTGCATGCGTTATGCGTTGATTGGAAAAAGTCTTTCCATCTTTGTGTCAATTTGTTTTTTGTTTGTTGTATTTTCTTACATACGTGGTCGTCTATGGGGTACAGTATTATTCGCTCTGAAGTCTATTAGACGCATATTTAGGCATTGTCTGTTTGATCGAATTCATCTGAATTTTCTGAACTGATTAGAGTGAATAAATTCATCTTTGCTGACGGTGTATCTTAAGTGGTGTGCGCGGTCTGATAGTTGTAACCTTACTTTTTTGTACTGTGCGTAAATTCTATTTGATTTTAGCTGTCATTGTTTTGAGTGAGCATCTATGTTGCGGATTGAGTTGTGCATTTGAAGAGGAATGACTTATAGCAAGAATTTTAAGGCATCTTGTCTGACTTGGGTGTAATGTTTTGAAATGCTGCAGGATGAGTTTTACTTCCGGTACATAGTGAAGCACAATCTGTTTGAACCTATTATTGAAGCTTTTGTGGCTAACGGAAATCGCTACAATCTCCTCAATTCAGCTATATTGGAGCTCATTGATTTCATTCGCAAAGTACGTTTCTTGTTTGTATTGCCCCTAAATATCTTCAATCTGAACAGGTGGTATATTGCTGTAATTATTCATGTTTATCTCCTGGTTTGTCATTTCACCAAACGCATGAAACGCAGCTTTTCATAGGGCTGACTCTATTTTTGCTCGACCCAAGGCAGAAAATTCCCTATTTCTATGTCTTCACTTGTAAGAAATCAATGTATCTTAATGTAGGTTTTCCTGTGGTATGCAATCAAAGTGCACGTCCCTGATTTAGGTGATACGCCTACGACACAATGGCTAGATTACCTAGTGTCAACATTTCAGTCACTTAGTATCGGTTGTAATTCTTGCACTCTTAGGGGTTAGGGTAACGTGATTGAGTGAAGACTGCTGGCCATGTTGTGATGGTCAAAATACTCTTGCTCACTTTTACCAAATGAAATACATAGACCCTGAACCTGTGTCTACATGCCTTATCAAGATTTTGTATCGCAATATATGCAGGAGGGCCTCAAAACACTCGTAGTGCATCTAATTGAGAAGTTTTCTTCTAAATTGGAATGTATTGACTATGTGGACACTTATCGGGAACTGAAATTGAAATATGAGCAGGTGAGAGTATTTGTCTCGGGGTTTGGGGTTGTCGACATCTGCTTATGTATACATTGGAGCAGGAATCAATTGCTGTTTCCTGAATTTAGTGTTTTAGGCAGAATTAAAGTTTTAAGTAGTTTAGGAATGTTTGTTAAGGAATTGCTGAAGGCATTTTCTCCCACTTGTAATGTTCACTTCGTGCTGCAGATTTTGGAAGGTCCCCCACCTAGCGCAAGAGACGCAGGAGTTGCTGTTACAAGTAGCAGCCCTGATCATGGTTCACGCACAGGACGTGATAGGCTTGGCCAAAGAGGTCTTCTTGATAGCCGCCAACTGAAGGACAAAGTTGAGGATGACAGTTTCAACGAGGACAGGTATCTTCGCAATCTGGATGCGTCACTACGGTTTTACACCTTTTTGAAAAATTGCATGCAGAACACGCTCATGGGACTTACATAAGTTCATCTATATGTGGATAGTGATGATGAGGGGAATCCAGCAATTGCATGGGTGTGTACATCTTCACAGCCGCAAACAACAAAATCAGTTACTGTAAATGGCAGTGCTCCAAGTGGTGTACCCTCAGGGTAAGTATCTTACTATGCCACCCTCTTTCATTTATTTGGCGTTCCGGCTAGAGATACTTGTGAACCTGACATGGCATGTTTCTTATCCCTAGGCATCTGATACTTTGCTCTGACAGTGGAAGCGCCACTGGATCAGTGTACCATGAAGGTGAAGATGAAAACATGTCTACAGCATTAAACACTAATCGCAAAAAATCAGGTTGGGTGTTCGAAATGAAGCCAGAGAGTATACTTCCGGCGATCCCCTTCACAGGCCCTATTTGGCAAGAAGTAGAAGATGGACCTATTACTAAGCGAAAGACCCCTCTTGCCTCAAGCTTAGAACAAACTGATGCTACTGTGTTCAAGAGACAAAAGCCTGAGGATGATCATGCAGAGGACCAATCCAAAAACTATCCCAGTCTTTCTGCCGTAGTTGACCTCAGTGGCGCTGGATCTGCTGAAATGAGTTCTGAAGTTCCGGGGCTAGCAGAATCAATGATGTTAGATTCTACACTACCAGCGCAAGATATCATTACGAAGGTATGCAACACAGAAAATCCAAATGCAACGTCAGTTTACCAGCATGAGTCAGATGTTATATATCAGACCTCCAGCTCAGATCATAGCAGTCGGAGCAACACTGAAGCAACGCCGGACGTTGATGGAAAGTGTGCCTATGAAGATTTGGACACATCTCCCTTAGAGTCTGCCTCTATACCTCTCGGTGGGAATGCAGACTTGGTTGCTAGTAAATCACTGCTGTTTAATGATAGACTTGCAGACATTGCAACCACGAGAACATTTGTTATGATGGGAAAGGATTCTGCTTGTTTAGAGGAAAACCATCCTTATGATGGACTGGAAGCCGTGAGAGAGAAATGTGCAAATGGAGGTGAGAGTCCCACTAAGCCAGTGGACGTTGGTTGCTCCCTGGCCAGAGAGAGTCAAAACGGCATGGACAGTTCCGCAGTTGAAGACATTAATAGGTCTACATCCGAGAGCTCAGAGAGGATAGGGCTTGGTGCCATCCCCACCAAAGGCGTTAATGACAGCAACAGTAGTATTTCGCAACTACAGAACACGAGCTTAGGTAGTGAAGGCAACAGAATGACCAACTTAGGTACGGATATTATGAGGACTGTAACTCCGACGTCTCCTGGACCCTACACTGTTCGATAGTATGATTCTAATTTCTGAATGCATTGGTACATTACTCATGAAGCTCTTGTCTCACATTGGTAGCACCTTATCTGTCCTCTCAATTCAACGCATCGCTATCTTCTGCCAAATGTAAATTCAAAATGTTTCCCTGGATGACGTAAAGGGTCGTTGATTGAGACCATCTAGTATTTCATGGTTTTGTGGGAAGTGGAATGGTCATCTGAAATTTCTTTCACCTTGGTGACGTTTTGTTTGGGGTTTGAGTAGAGCCTGTGGCAAAGACGCTCTGAAGGACTATCAATAGCACAACTTGTTTCTTGTCCATAGCCATGGGGGGCCAGGGCTAGTTTGTATACCGTCAAGGGTGGAGCCTGCCCTCTCAAGCAATTTTTTGCTCCATTTTAGGCAGTTTTGAGCTCTGCTTTGTTTTTAGTTTAGCTCTAGGCATTTGTATACATACATACATACATACATACATACGATTGTTTTTACGACGTATAAAATCTATGTAAAATTTAAATCACTAAAATTAACATTTGTATCTTGTCCAATTCTTTACATGTTTTCATCCATATGTTCACAAAGCAAAAACGTATAATTGTAATTACTTCACTTCTTTGAATGCTATACTTGGCTAGATAAGTATGCTCTCACGTCGTTACTTATTTATTTATTAAAATTTATTTATTCAGTTTTGTTTTTGATGGGGTTGTTATTAGTTAGCCAAGCTGCTGCAATGTCGACAACTAAATGCTACGAACAAAAACATGCATTACAAACGCGAAAATTGAAGCAGAAATCTGGAGTCGAATGCAAATTTTTTCTGTTTAGAACTTCTTGAATGCTCTTCCGATGTTGGGAGTGAAGCTGACAAATGTGAGGGAGCAGGTTGAGAATGAAGAACAATCATCTGATGTTGCAGGTTTTATTTCTTTGAAGAAAATAAACAAGTTGGTGTCCCGAACATAGATTATTGACGACAGAATCCGACTACGGAGTGAGTCCCCCCCCCCCCCCCCCCCCTTGGGCAGAGCTCGTCTGGGATCCAATTAAGTACAATCTGAAATGTATGCTAATTCTAAGCGGTGCACACAATCTTGATATCCGATCGATCACTTTCGCCTCTTCACTTCCGTGTAATGTAGCGCGAAGAAGCTCAAGATCCGGTACACGACGGCAAATCCTGCCATGATTCCTACGTCTAACCATTTGTTTGCTTTGTCCAGAAACATATTCTCAAGTATATTCTGACCCGTCACAAAGCATTTGTCGCCATACACCGGGCCGAAGCATCGATCGGCGGTATGAGAATACTCGTTGATCAAGAGTGCATCTAGTGGGTACTTGAAAAGCGAGAGGTAATGCGCGAAGATCCAATACTTCGGCATGTAATCCTTGGCGATGAAGCAGCCGGAGAACAAGAAGAATGCTCCCATGACACCCGTAACGATTGTATTCCCCATGATGAAGTCCGACACAAGTGAGCGTGAAGGCGAGGAATTCCACCCGTTTCTGCATGCCCCGAGTGCCGTAGCCCATGTGGAGGTAGATGGTGCGCGCAGTCAGGAGCTGCTTTGTGCGGATGACGTTCCTGAGGAAGCGGTGAGACAGGATTGTGATCTCCTTATATTGTGAATTTGCGTAGCTCACCTCGTCGATCTCCCCGTCGCCGAATTGGGACGCTGAGTCGCTGCTGGTGGTGGTGTCATTATGGACCGGCGTTGCAGGGGGGTTGGGCCCAAGATCGAAGAGCTTCTGAAGAGAGAGGAGCAGGGGAGTTGTCACCTCCCCTACTGAAAAAACGCTACTGTTCTCGGTGGTATGGAGCATGTCGATGGAATCGACAGCATATTCTAGGACATTCACCTGCGCGGAGATGCGGTGTCCCGCAGCGCAGAGGCGCTGCGTGAGTACATCTAGACTGCCATGATGCATCACACAACCTTGCGCCAGGATTAGCTCGGCATGAAATTGCTGCAAAATTCGGTACCCCGGCTGATGGATGCTGAGAATAATGGTGCGGTTGCAAGTCTTGGCCATGGTCTTCAACATGATGCACACATGCAGCGCGGCGGTGGAGTCCAGCCCCGAAGTCGGCTCGTCGAGAATCAGAACAGCAGGGTCCTGGATCACGTCCACCCCGATCGAGACACGCCGTCTCTCGCCTCCTGATACCCCGCGGATGTTCTCATCTCCGATCCGTGATCCTGCGACATGGCTCAACCCGAGCTCAGTCATCAGAGCCTCAACCCGCGCCAGTTTTTCAGTGATCGGTACCACGGGTGGCAACCGCAGGCGCGCTGAGTAAAGCAGCGTCTCCTGCACCGTGAGCATGGGGAAGAGCGCGTCGTCTTGCATGACATAACCACTGATTCGGCGAAACTGTTGCCTGTCCATGGGCTGACCGTTCACGTGAATGCTCGTCAATGGCGAACTCGGCCTGATCTTCCCGGCCAACACCTCGAGCAGGGTAGATTTCCCCACTCCGCTGGGTCCCGCCACCGCCATCACCTCCCCAGGTCGAGCGTCAAATGTGATATGCTTGAGAATGTACTGCGACGTCGTTTTGCTTGAAGAGGCACCACCCATCTCTGATCCAGAGGCTTTGCAAGTTTTCTTTGTGTTGAGAATGTTGTAGGATAGGTCGCATAGCTTCAGAATGTAAGTTTTGTTGCTGGTGGGTGAAGGTGAATGTGACGGAACAATGGCCACCTGGGAAGCTTTGACATAGAGCTTGTCTTCGTCACTGCTGTTCTCGATTTCTGCGCATGTTTCACTGCCACAACAAACTATGTGACTGTGATTAGGGCCTTTTCTCCTCTCGAGATCGACCATGGTGCTGCGAGCGGCAAAATTTCGGATGTCCCACTGCTCTCCCAAAACTTCTGTAATGCTGAATTAATTTCAGATGTGGTCGTGTGCAACGAAGGAGTTTTTATTTCATTTTAAATTTTCAATATAAAAGTATCTGGGAATTCCCAATTGCAATTGCAACTGTCATTGACATGTGATATTACACAGTAACTTGAATGCTTGGAAACTTCTGCAGTAGTCGACTGTATCAACTCCAATGTCGTGGCCATAGCTGGTCTTCTTGAATGGCTACGATTCACATGATCACGGCCTAAATGGGAAGATCTGAACGTGCTGATGGTAATTTTTCCCCTTATCTTCTTCCGCATTTCCCACTTTAATCACAGACTTGCATGTCCAGCTTGTGAAGCATACAGCTCTTCAGCGCAAGCAGAGCGTAATTTTCTTCCCAATTCCATCGAGAAAGACAGCAATGGTAGATGAGATGTCAGTATAAACAAGCTGCACAACATGGAGACTAACGCACGTAAGTTCATCGCAATGTGATGCAGTTGAAATAGCATCTGTCACGAAGTTCAAAGTACAGATCATGTAAGCGGAGGCAAGCTTGGAACTCGGTACATTCCATAGACTTCTAGACTTCCAGGGAATGGAAAATGTAATAACGCCTTTCTGGGCTCATCAGCTACTGAACATTACACACTAGCATTGAACACAGTTGAAGAACGAAGCAAGGATTGCGGTGGCACGCATGCATGCGCACGCACTCCAAACTCATCCCTCCAGAGAACTTGAGCGATATCTATTGAGGAAATCTAGAGCCTTATCTTCAAGCGCCTGCTGCAGAAAGACAATGGGTGGTTTAACCACTTCTCAGCGATGGCGGTCAGCTGCTCGTGGCTCCATAAAGCTGCAGGGTACAATGCGCCAAGGAAAGTTGCCACAGAAAACTGTGGCGAGCCGTCTCTACTCCCCATGAGCTACTACACTCACACCGACCTCCCATCAATTCATTTTTTTGCATCCAGATTTGACGCAACCATCACTTGATCTTGTGTACTGCGCATGGATTCTCGATAAAAATCATAATAAAACAGCAGGCCATGCGGCTGGATAAAGCTGTCCAATTTTTTTTTTCTCCTCCACGAGCGTCCCGCTCGCTAGTCCCCCATCACTCAGTTGCAGCTTTGCAATGGTCCTGACCTGCACCTGTAGCCATCACGAGCTTACCCAAAAGCACCCGTCTGTTCTCCAGCAGCAGCGCCTCATTGCTACCACAACAGCCATCAACTCACGTGGCAATACATTGACCCCCCCCCCCTCCCTTTCAAACAATCAAATCAAAGAGAGTAATGCTCCCCATCAGTACTCTGTCCGTCTGTAGCATGTGAGTGTGTCAACACAGTACAAGACCCAACTCCAAACGAGCAAGAGGGACACTCTCATTTGCAACGAGTTTATTGCACATCCTCCTTCAAAACCACCATTTTATTCATAATCACGTCATAAAGAACACGCTGTAATCCGCAAAGTGAAACTCTCTGCAGACTGACCCAAATGTGTAAAGAACAATGTTCAATCACCAAGCAACGAGCTGATCATGAGAGTGACGCAAGGTACAATGGCATGATAAACGGATAGGCATGGGGAGGGTGATCGCCCCACCCCACCTAATTAATAAATAAAAAAAACCAGTAAAGGAAATGCAAAGTAGGTGGGTAAAATTATCACGGGTCGGTTTCAGCGAACGAACGAGTGTGAGAGAGAGAGAATTGGAAGGGGTTCAGTTTCTCTGACAGTTCTCATTACAATACAACAGCCTGCTTTCATTGCATGACCCGGTGCCGCTCTCTCTCAACCAGTCCTGCAATGAAGCCACAAACTCTCTAGGTACACACACATACACACACACACACTGCAACACATTATGAGCTCTCTCTCCCCCTCCTATCGACTTATGCTGGTGACCAGCTCCAGCAACGCCCATCGCTCTTGCTGTTCCTCATTGCTGGTGTAGTGTGGGTTTGTTTGTTCATCTGTTTATCTGTTAGTTTGTGTGCATGTTTGTGTGATTGTATGTATGTTTGTTTTGTGAGGCTGAGTGGAAGTGTTGCAATAGTGTGCGTGAGTGTGAGGTTGCTGTTGTTGTTGCAGAGACCATTTTCTTCTGGATCCATGGCATCAAGGCTCTTGTTACCCAGGGACTTGCAAAGTGCCCCTCACCATAGCTCTCTATTCAATTGTTGCTCACATGTCCC